CGGCCGCGTCTCCCTTTCCCCCCCAGCCCCTTCCCAAACGCAGCGCGGAATTAGGCTCGGCCCCGGTCGCTGCAGCCCGACCTTTTGTTTTTAAAACCGATGCGCATCTGCCCGGGAGCCCCCCTACATACGGAAACGGCGGCAATGCGGAAAAATAAAATAAAAACATAAATAAAAGAAAAAAAAAGAAATAGGAAAACTAGAAAACAATTCAAAATTACCTTGACGGCCCGTTTTCGTGGCCCTTATATAATTCCTCAAGGTTACCGCCGTTGCCAGGGGACGCGAAATGGAAATGAAAACAGGCGCTGAATAATCGCGGGAGCAAAACTAAAAGTTCAGTGCCTCCGCCCGGGCGGAGAGAGGGCCAGATCGAAAGCAAAACAAGGAGAGGAAGCGGCGAGGCCGCCGGCGCTTGGAAATCCCCCCGCCTCTCCGCCGGGCCGGGCCGGCCGCGCAGGCGGCGGGGGCAGGGCTGCGGTGGCGGGCGCGGAAGCGCTGCGCCCGTCACGGCCGCGCCGGGCACGGCACGGCACGGCACAGAGCGGCGCGGCACGGGCCGCCACGGCGCTCCGCCACCGCCCCCGGGCAGCCACGATCGGGGGGCACTGTTCCGAGACGCGCAAGCCCCCCGCTCAAAAGCGGGCTTTCCCGGAGACCGGGAAACAATCCCTGCCGCGCAGCTCCACCAGCACCGGCTGAATCGCACCCTGCCTCTCTGCCCTCTCTGCTGCGGTGGGAGCCGTGGTCTCGGACTGGTACACACGCGTGCTGTCTTTGCCTTTGGACAGTTCCACAACGAGGACAGTTTCAGCTCAGGTCCTTTGAACCCAGCGAGTCTCGAGCGGCTGGGTTACTTCAAGAGAGAGCTCTTGGATTCCGACATATTTTGTAAACTGCTGTTGGTCGTGGAGTCTGTGCAGAGACTAAGAGTGTTCTGCAGAATTTTGATAATCCCGATTCAAACTACAGTATATAAAATTGACTGAGGAGATGTTGCAATGTGCCATTCCTAGCCCTAGCCATAAATGCTAAAGAAAAGGCCCCAGCACCCGGGGACTGGAGGAGAAATGGAATGTAGTCATTACAAGAGGTCATATATGGAGACACAGAGGGGTATGCGTGTTTCTCATATCCACACGTGTCTATACATATGCTATATGCATGTACATACAGACATTTGGGTAAGCCAGTGATATAGCTACACATGCAGCCACATGATGCACGGCCATCAGTGGTAGGAGGAACGCTGGGACACAAGGGGTTTGCAGGGGGTGGCACAACGGGGTGGTTAAGGAGCTGTGTACTCTCCAGCTGGACAGCAAATGGAGTGGGATGTGTTGACCGGGTGCTGTGAGTTGTGAGGACCCTCTGTGGTAGCAGCCCTGGCCATGCAGAGGACCACTGAGTTAATGACAAGGCAGGGAGTCCAGCATTGTGGGTGACCAGTCCTCCTGTTTTGAAAAGGCTCTCCTTGCACTGAGGAGAACATAACCACAAAATAATTTAGGAATCTACCACCCCCCAAAAATCACTGGGGCCTAGAAGGCAGCTGTGGTCCATGTGTGCACCAGGCAAGTAGAAAAGGGCAAGAAAGAGGTTTTGGAAGCAATATGTAACGTGCCAGGCCAGACAGTAAAATCAACCATCTCCTTCAAAACTTCTCTAGAAACATTCCCAGCAGTATGGAGAGGTCCACACTGATGCGGAGGGACACAGTTTCCCAGAGCAGCTGCGCAGGAGAAGCAAGGAAATGTCATATTCATATGGCAGATACTCCCAGATACTTCCAGAAGAGAAGAGACCAGAGGGACTGATTTCCACGAAGCCACAGTGGAACGAGAAAGAGGGACACGGGACACCTGGCTTCAGATTGGCATGCTGACTGAAGAGAGGTGCAGGGAAAGGAGATAATCAGCAGGACATGGTAATGACAGGACACAGTGTGTATAGGAGGGTCAGACTAGGCTGTGGCTATAGGGAAAGGTGCTACGTACTTCATGCCTATAAAAGGAGCAAAATCAGCAAACTCCAGCAACTAAAGACAAATTGTTATAGACTTAAGGTCTAACTAGGAAAACAGTAGCATGTTGATGCCCTCTGATCAGGATGGAGACAGTTACTATGCCAAGGTTAATTAGACAGCAGTAAAGTGATTGAAAATTAGAAATTTCTAACCAACTTGTTGCCACTCAGAAGTACAATCTTGCAGTCATAAAAACTCATGGAAGAATTGGTTCAACATTTGAAAACTGTCACAAAGCCGGTGGAACATGCCAGGATGGAACACAAAGAACAGAACGGGAAGGGCTGCAATATGCCTCCCAATGATGACTCTGGCCCACATGTAACAGAAACAGCAAAGATTCAGAGAAGAGCAACAAACACAACAAAAAATATGGAGTGACCCCGATGTTAGAGTGATTCAAGAATTCATGTGACCAGGATTATTTAGGATGGAGAAGTGATAAACAACGGAAAACAGTCAGACCAGAGAGAATACGCAATCCTGAGTAGAGAGGAGTAGGGGTGGATTATTTACTTTCTTTTCAAATATAAGAGAGCATCAAAGGAAATTAGCAGGTGGCATATTTAAAGCAAACTGAGGAAGGTGGATCTTCATGCAGCAGGTAATTAAACAGTGGGACATCCTGCTTTGAGGTGCCAGTAGTTCACGAGGGATCCAAAAAAAAGCACATGTACACATTCACAGAAGGAAAAAAACCCATGGGATCTATTAAATGTAAAGACACTGACTCTGCCTAAAGTAGCTCCTAAAGCCACAAATTTCTAGGAGCTAGAAGCTCTTTGGTAGCCTTGAAAAAGGCCTGTCTGGAAATGCCTGCAAATGGCTCATGGCAGGGCAGGTGTCCAATGCTGATCCAACACCTCCCTCCGAGCAAAGAGAAGAGCATCTGAGGCTGGCTCTTGCGATGCTCAGTGACTGTTGTTTCTAGTATGTCCTTCTAATTTGTTCACAGAATGAGCCAGCTGTGAAAAAGACTGTAGTTTATGTATCACTAGATTGTGTGGAAAAAATGCTTACCATCAATTAAATAAATTAATATGACACTCAGAGGACTGCTTATTCATAAAATAGCACTTTCATGAATGACATTAATTGGTTTTGGTCGAAGAAAACACAGTTTGCTTCCCTGAGAAACACTAGCCAAATCACTAAGCAGAATTTGCCACTTATTCTTGCCATTTCCTCCTAACCTTCACCTGATCTCAGTGGAGCATGTTCAAGGGTCTTGATGGGCTGCATTCTGTGCATTAACAAAGGCATCTCCTTCCACATCTTCTAGCGTCATAAGTTCAGAGGATATACAAGAAGTTTAATCTCCTATTGTGATTTCTTTTTCAATGTTGAATGGTAATGGGGAAATGGGCAACTTTTGTTTTCTAAACTTAACTTTCGGCAAGCAGTGACCCATTCCCTCCAAAAAGAGACTTTTACCTCTTGTGACTTGACTGTTTCAGTAAGACCTGGCAGCTTTAAAATTAGAAAAATTAACCCAGAAGCATCATATATCCACAGCTTTTTCTCTGCAGAACTGCCAAAATTTGCAACTCACTTTTAACCACCGTCCTTAGGGATTCAGCTACTCGAATCAGTTGTTTGCATTAGCATCCTGCTTTCCCTTCTATTCTATTCTATTCTATTCTATCATTATTCTGGCCAGGCTTTCATTTCTGTGAGAAAAAAAAACCTTGAAACTGGAAATTCCTTCAGTTCCAGAAGGTAAATTAATAAGCCATCCATCTTAAAGTTTAATAATATTTTTGAAAAGGTTAATAACATTTACGACATTTTCTCTTTTTGCTGTTGTTGTGGTTTTGCCCTGTCTTTATGTGGAGCTTACTATACCATCATTTTGGTTCTTAAAACCACTGTCACAGGCATTGGGACTATTCACACGTACAATTGGAGCAGTTGAATTTTCTAATGGAGCTGGGCCCCAAACTTACCTACTCACATACAGCTGACCTGTTTATTTTTCTAGTATGTTAAAGTGGGAAAGCTAATTTGCTTCACAAGCCAGTACCAAGAAAATAAATCAGTTGCAAGAGTCCTATAATTCTTACTTTAATAGTATTACCCACATCATCCTGAGTGCCTATACCCATTTTTAAACATAATGCACAGTTATATTTATTTCCAGTTTTAATTTGTCCTGTCAAAAACATTCTGATGCTGATGTAATCTCCTGCACTGACATTTTAGACACTAGATAGTAATGACACCTTTCTAATTAAAAAAAAAAAAACAAAAAGCCCCATGAGATTTCTGAATACAGTTAAGAATTTGAAGTAGTTGTATATTACTGTAATACAAATAATCATTACTATTATTCCATTATACTAAGTATCATGGAAGAGTGTTGGCTAACCCTTTAACAACTTGTAATAGTTTCTTCTCTGAAAAAAGTTTTATTTGTTGGAGGGTTTCTTGTGGTTGTTTTTTTTTTCATTTACTCTGTGTTTATACTGTTGTAAATAAAAGGATTGTCTGGGCTTTGGTGTTTCTGCAGTATTCTAGAAGTATTTATTCTCATGTTAAAATTCATAGAAACTAAAGCTTGTTGCTTTTTGGCTGCTTTTGTGCCCCACCCTTACCAAGGGAAAGGGAATGGGCAGAGCAGTGGACATCAGGAAGCATTTGCAAACTGTTGAAGGTGGAGACCTGGAGATACAGTTGGGTCTCTTCTTCCTCACCCATCCTCTGAGGGAAAAAAATACTTAAGTCCAAACTGAGGAAATAGGCCCTTAAATTCAAGGACATGAGCAATTCCTCTTGAGTTCAGAGAGAGCTTTCATGCATCTGAAGTTCCATATGCATGCAGGAGTGTGTATAGAGAGAGCCTCCTGCCTTTCCCCCTTTGCCTTCATTTTGCCCAGGTTTCTTAACTCAGACTTTTTATGGTCTTTCCCTCTTTTTTTCTCCCACTCTAATGGCTGCAGGGTAGTGTGTAGCTTGCTCAGGCTGCTCCTATGGGATGTGGACCCCTGACTCTTCCTGGTGGGGCTCAGCCATGTCATCTCAGGGGTCAGAAGCATGGGCTGTGGGCCTCATGGCCAGCTGCAGCAGGGCCTCATCAACAGTGGCAGTGTTCTGTGCCCGCGGCACCACCCCAATGCTATTCAGGCAGCACAAAGAGGGAATTTCCTCAACGCCTTTCTGAGCAAATCCACCCGTGGGATAATTCCTTTGTCTTTGGTTGGGCTATGCCTGCAGGGACATCTACCCCTGAGAGGTTTAACTGGGTGTCTAAATTAGTGGATACTACTCAGCTCTCATATTCCAGCTGTGCTGTTCTTCTGATTGCTAAGAAATGAGGTGGTAGGAGGGTTGCTTTGTTTTCACTGGTAGTAATTAAAGTAGTAATTACATAAAACTGTTCCAGGATGGAAAAATCTATTTGCTCAGACCAGATCTCTGAACAGTAGTTTCTCTAGACT